TGTCTCTTAACCAGAGTGTGTCTCCGTAATCTGTCTCATGTGACGTGATGCGAGTGCTGCGGAGCAGATCTAAACGCTGTGTGTACTGACCCATGAGGATTTTGTCCTTAGCAAACTCCAGCTCCTTCATTGAGACCACCTCTTTCCCGTCCACTGCTGCCTTCAGGGCAGCCTGGTTGACAAGGTTCTCAAGCTCTGCACCAGTGAATCCCACTGTGCCCCGGGCAATGACTTCTGCATCCATGACTAAAACAGAAAAGAAATGCCTTCTTCATAAGGGTGATCAGAAGACAATGGTGTCCTTTACAGAAAGGGTGAACAAAACTGTCCTCTCAGGTTTACAGCTTTGAATACTTTAAAAACGGTTTCAGTTGATGGGCTATTGTTTCTCCAGATGTCTGTGATATTGTCAGAAGTTGCCAAGATAAAAGTGGGAAAGATCTGCTTTCTTACATATTAGTGTTTCAGTATTAAAAGATGAAACATACCACTGTCCACTTTAATCTTGGACAGGTACAAGTTGAGAATTTCAGTGCGTCCTTTCACATCTGGACGAGGGACCGTCACCTGCAAGTCGAACCTCCCCGGCCTTACCAGAGCACTGAAAAGTAGTAACAAAGTTGTATTGATTAACACTTGAGTATTTGTAATCTTCCGTTAATATTAAATGTCGAAACTTTACTGTGTCAAGACTCAAATGCAAGTGAGACTACTAGGATGCTCCTTTTTTGTTCTAAGATTTGATTCAACAGTGATTTACTGAAAGTAAGTTTAGTTATTTGAAATGAAAACATACTTATCCAGAGCCTCAGCAAAGTTTGTAGCACCAATAACGATGACTCCTTCATTGGGTTTAAACCTGTAAGAGAACAAAACATTAACTGTACAGTTATAAAAACTCTCAACTGCAATATTTTATTCACAGTATAAGGTTTAAAATATCATTACTATAGTACTGACCCATCCATTTCAGCCAGCAGCTGGTTGATTGTTTGTCTGGAGTAAGGATGCATAGGAGACTCGATCCTCTTCCCTCCAACACTGTCCAACTCATCAATGAAGATTACACAGGGAGCATTTGCTTTTGCCTCCTCTGCAAAATGGGAAAAAAAATGGTGAATTGTAGAGGGCCTTTATCCTTAACTGGTTCATCACATTTTCTCACATCCAGAAAACTTACTGAAAAGGTTCCTGATGCGGCCCGCACCCACACCCACGAACATCTCATCAAACTCTGATCCAGAGGCATAGTAGAAAGGCACATCAGCCTCTCCGGCTACGGCTCGAGCTAAGAGAGTTTTGCCAGTACCTGGTGGACCAATGAGGAGGATCCCTGTGACGGAAACAGAGGAAACAAAAACCACACTACATTAAGAAACTGTAGAAAGACTATTTGCCAAATGGATTAATGGATAATAAAAATCAAACAAAATAGATAATGTGGGGAATGTTCAGTTCCTTATACCTTTAGGCAGTTTTCCACCCAGAGCAGTGAACTTCTGTGGGTGCTTGAGAAACTCCACAACTTCTTGTAATTCGTTCTTTGCCTCCTCGACTCCTTTGACTTGCTCAAACGTCACATTCTTCATCTGGATGGGGTCGACGGCTGAGTCCAGACCAGATGTGGTGCGGAACCTCACTGTGACATCCCAAAACAACTAAGTCAGTACATTTCGATTTTAGAAAAACTTATCACCTATTTACAGCTTCTCACAATGATTACAAGTTGGTTGGTTAAAATATGCTCACTGCGACACACATGTAAATACGATGACCCGAATGTACGCTGCTCTTCCACATTTATTGGACTAGTTCCAGCACATCGACATGAACACATAACACACATTGGATGGATGGTTAAGTATTAGTACACTGTGGTATTCAGCAGATTTATCACTCACACCCTAAATGCACACCATCGAAGAGATACAGGTATCATGTCTTATTGACCTGGTGGTAAACACCACACATCAAATATCTAAGATGCCAGAGCATCCCATCTTTATTATACAAGCTTGGAGATGCTAACAAGCTCTATCTTATTTGTACTGTGCATGTAGGGTTGTGAGTCGATTTGCAAGAATAGGAAAGAAGGAAAACGGAAACAAACCAGCGTCAGAAAAGGAGCCTTTACCCGAGAGAAACGGGGTCCTGGATAGACCATAAATACCAACAAGTAGGAGGACCAACAGGATCAACCTGGTTCTCCTCAGCGAGTCTGTCAAAACAGCAGAGAAAAAGTTAGAGTCCTGTAACTCATTACTCAACATCCCACAAAAATTAATTATTTTATTCCTAGATGATAACTGTGGTGCCTGAAGGCTAAGAGAGTGAGCCACATGCCTTGTGTTCTCTGTGTATATGCCTGGGACCTCATGAACCCATCCGTGAAACCTGTCTTGAAAGCCTCCTGCTGGTTTATTGGAAGGTTCTTTTCTTTTACCACTTGGTCCAGCGATTGCACCTCTGGTCCCTTTTCCCTCGAGAGCAAACCCTGTGAGGGAAACACACGAAGAGTTGGTTGGTGACCTTCAGTCGTACAATATGATAAGACTTCTGGAACTGTGCAGTAACATGCCGACCTTCATGAAGGCTGGTGTGTAGGTCTCAGACTCCACTGGACCATCGTAACTGGACTCCGTTCGTCGAGATTTTGTTCTAAATGTCTTGAAACCTCGACTCTGCACCCAGACTGTAAACAGACACATGGAACAACAAAAATCTTCAATCACTACCCCAAGTGTCAAGTCCTTAATACACACAAAAATCTAATATTCAAATTGAATTTCTTACCAGGCAAGAATTGTAGCTGTGAGCAAGCTTCTTTTAGAGGACTGTGGTATTGTCTGTGGAATACTGGTGAGCCAAATACCCCCAAGCTCCTGTGCGAAATCCCTGTGAGACAAAAAGTGTAAAAAGGGTTTCACTTTACATTGTATTACACTGTTAAGTGAGTTATGTGTAAAATTAGTTTTTATTAAATAACAACATTGTCCAAACAAAACCTTTCAGCTCAACACCATTCTCACCATGCTTGTTGTGAAAGAAGCTGTCTGTAGAAACATGACTCGTCTTCCATACTGAAGGAACAGTGGGGAGTTCTTCTGGTCCTAGTGGAGGCAGTAACCTGCCGACCAGCTCATCCAGCTGATTCACACTGATGTCCGAGAGGCCAAGATCCCTCAGACTCACAGTGGGCTATGAAGAAAGGAAAACCAAAGTAGGTTCATTTACACCTTTTAGAGGACAAATACTGAAGCGAAAAAAAAACATGAGTTCGGCATCCAGAGTGACTGATCGCTCTTTCACTCACTTTTCTAAACAGATATAGAGAGAAACCCTTTTATAATGTGTGGACAATTGGGTCTGGTCCTGGCCCCAATTGCCAAACTTCTAGAATCTCGTCAACATCTTCTACATGCAAGACATCGCTTTTTCATCCTGAGATATTTGTATTCTACTTGTTTTTTTCCAGTTTTGCGTTTGTTGCGTGTTAAAAACGTCATCAACACACAGAGGATGTCTGGAGTACAGTGCAGGTTAAAAGCAGCACTGTTAATCTATTTAAAGTGTGTGTGTGTGTGTGTGTGAAGATATTCATGTTCAGATCAAAGTCACTGATGATTACGAAGCGTTAACTCATGAACACAGTTGGAGAATGCATACATCACATCCCTGGTACCGAACTCACCTCTTTGAGAAAAGAACTGTGCTCTGGAGTGAAGTCTTTGTGCAGAGTCTGGACTGAAGCTGTGGCTGAGTTCTTCAGAGAGTGGAGGGCATTGATGAGCTGGCTGAGGGGCACTATCATCTGGCACATACATGACAACACGGGAGGAGGGTGAGGAACAAGCTCCCAACGTGTGATGCTTCACACAATCTTACATTTAAAACACGCACAGAAACTCAGACAGCAGAATTCAAACACTGGTCATGGCTTCACGTGGATGTTCCAGACGGGGCAGGACTGTTACATCAGTGTTCATCAGAGGGCAGCATGGGCCACACACGTCAGAAGTACGAGTTATGTAAACTCGGCTCTTTAAAGAATAACTCAATACCCTTCCATTAACCTTAAACCCGGCTCTGCCCCACGTGTCATTAACTCATCACAGTGACCGCACGTTCGTGATCTTCTCCACGTGAGATTTCCCCGGGACGCAACGTGACGCCGCACCGATCACGAAGTAAGCTAGCCTCGGCTTGTTGACGCTAACGTTAGCCTAGCTAGCTTGTCATTGACAGCGAGAGGGCTAAAAGGCAAACGCAAGGACGAGCGGCGGCTGTCACGGTTACAACTCGCACACATTGCGGCTTAAATACAGAAAGTGGCGCAGTGACGTTAGCTAGCTATGCGATGGTGGTGGTGGTGGGGGGGGGGTTTACCCGGTATCTTTACCTGCTGAGGCTGAAACGACGTCGACAGCGAAAACATGTTTTTAACCGAACGGCGGCTGGAAACAAGAAGGTGCAGGGCGGATGTAGGAGGACGAGCCCTCTGTGGCTGCCGTGGAGAGATGGAGGACACTGTCGGGAGCGTCGCCCCTTTGTTTTGCTTCTTACTCAACTTCCAGCAGCTTAGCTAACAACAGCAAATGGATCCTCCGGCGTCCGAGGTCAAGTGGACTACAAAATGACGTCAGAGCGGGTTACAGTGGCGTGTTCGTTACATCACCCGAGGAACAAAAAAAATAAAAAAAATACGCATTTATAAAATTTGTTTAAAAATCATAAACACGAATTAGAGAAGGATGATGTCAGTGAATGTAGTTTGTTGCTCTGTGGGGAAATAAATAAATGTTATCATTAAACCTGACGACCCATGGGTGTTCTTTACTGCCTGATCAATAATATCGTTAAAAGCTCCGATTCAGACACCTGTTTTGTTTTATAAATCAATATGATGCGATTGTTGATTTAAAACCACAGTATAACTTCTATATCTTTTGTTTTTGTCTCATATTTGGGGCGTCTGTCATGATTTGCGCACAGGCAGTGGATTTGGCCCCCGCCAGAGGACCCCCCCGCGGACGAAGGGCGGAAATTTTTCAAATTTTCAAAACAAACCGGAGACAGTTGTTTCTGCGATGTGAGTGTCTGTGGAGGACGCACAGCCCGGACACGAGCTGCACGATGGACGCGGGGGAAAAACACGGAACCGGCCGACGTGAGAAAAAGGTGGACGCTCCCAAAGCGCCCTCCATCGAGGACTTCGTGGTTCTGAAGCCTGTCAGCCGCGGAGCCTTCGGGAAAGTCTACCTCGCACGGAAGAAGTGCAATGCGCGGTTATACGCCATTAAGGTGAGCGTGTGTTGGGCCTCCAGCAGAACCGACGCACCGACCGAACCCGTGCTCGTGTTCCTAACTGTCCGTGATTCCTCCTCAGGTGATGAAGAAAGCGGACATGGTGGATAAAAACATGACGGGCCAGATGAAGGCGGAGAGAGACGCGCTGGCTCTGAGCAAAAGCCCCTTCGTCGTTCACCTGTTTTATTCCCTTCAGACCTCCACCAAGATCTATCTGGTGAAACCCCACGACACAACACAGCCCGAGGAACTTTACTGCTGAACTTTACTGCTGAACCACTTCGACTTCAAGTGATTTAATCTGTATTCCCTCGTTAACTACAGGTGATGGAGTACCTCATTGGTGGAGATGTCAAATCTCTGCTTCACATCTACGGATATTTCGACCAGGACATGGCTGTTAAGTACATTTCAGAGGTGGCTCTGGCTTTAGATTACCTTCACCGACATGGTATCATCCACAGGTACTCTCATTTTATGTTCAATGTTTTTGGGCTCGTAAAATGAGTGTAACTTTCACTGATGAGTCTTCTGTTGACATTTATTGTATCTGTCAATTCTCTTTTCAGGGACTTGAAGCCAGAGAATATGCTCATATCCAATGAAGGTCACATCAAACTCACAGACTTTGGTCTCTCTAAAGTCAAGCATGACAGAGGTGTGATGTATAATCATCTTCGATAAATTGTGATCATTGCTGCTACTTATTTGATTAATATTTAAAACTTTTGTCTATATTTCAGAGCTGAGTATTACGGACATCCTAACCACCCCATCATTGGCTAAACCAAAAAAAGATTATTTCCGCACGCCGGGTCAAGTCCTGTCCTTGATCAGCTCCCTTGGATTTGTAAGTATTTTTTTTTTTAATAAGGTGATGGCCAGTTTACACTCAGTGCGCATTGTTTGTATTGAAAAATAACTCTTTCTTTATCTTTCTAAATTCAGAATACACCTACAGGGGAGGGAAAGCGTCACTGCAGCGCATCTGCTGCGTCCAGTCCCATTTCCTGTGGCAGAGTAAGACACAAGAATAACTCTCTTGGTTCTCCCTTGATGAAGAAAAAAGATCAGATCTTCTCCCCTGCTCAGTACCCTTGGAAGCTGGGTATGTTGAAGTATTACAAACCTTCTGGAATGACTGATGTGTAAACTTCTAAAAAGCTGCATGTCTGATCGAAATTTTCTTTGTATTTGCATAATCTCCATTAGGACCTAACAACAGTGTGTTTAGTCCTCACAATCTGGCAAAAAATCTGACTCCCACGCTCCTGAAGACCAGAAAAAGGTTTGAGACGATGAGTGCAGGCAGCTCCACCGACACTGAAGGTGGCATCAGTCCACTGTGGGAGTTTGAAGAGGTCAGTGATCATGGAGCTTTGACTGTGTAAAATTACCTAATCATCTTATTTTGGGGGTGTCCAACTTTGTTTCCCCAAAACTTTGTTTTTTACTTTAGTATTATTTTCCTTTTCCCTCCCTTCTTCAGAAAGAAAATGAACAAACCAGGAGAGGAGCTAAACAGGACTTTGCATCCACAAAACTGAGAACCGTCTTGCTCTCTGCTAAGTCCAGCAACAATCTGCCCAAAAAGTCAAATCCAGACCAACTTGATGAAAAAGGTTCTCATACCAACAAACTGCAGTCGGTTTTTGGTTCCACGGCTCAGGAGGATATTTGTCTTTCAGCAACAGGTGACAGTCAAACTGTGGTTCCCTCGTCTGTGAAGAGAACATTTTCAGATATAGAGAAGAGTCCGGAGCCATCAGAAATCCAATCCAAGAAGAGTAACGCAGACTACAGAAGATGCTATGATATTCCAGGAGAGACCACAAGGGTTCACAGCGGCCTGACAGGAACATTTTCCACTTTTCAAATAGGCGACTTCATGGCCTCCACAGAGGGGATTGAGTTATCTGATCAACGAGTCCCAAAGCGCTCCAGTCCCATCGCTGTGGCCAAAACCTTGTTCTGTGAACTGGAAGAGCCGGCAGAGGACTTGTTTGAAGATGGAGCCAAAGACTTGTCGCATTCAAGCTTCACGTCACCACTTTGTGGAAACAACAACATTTGCAGGAGCTTGAGTCTGGACTCTGACGGGTCAATGCACGAAACCTCTCTCACGATGGAGAGCCACTCATCTCTCAAACTGAGCATGTGCTCCAAAATCAGGAACTCGATATTATTTGAGGGTCAAGAGGAAAACCCAGACTCGTCCATCACTGAATCGCTTCTGCACACTCCCTCTGCTGTTTCTACCGAAACACTCAAACTCAGTCATTTCAACCAGCTCTCGGATCTCGCCTGCCGGGCGGCGCAGTCTCCCTCGTTCCTCAAGCCTCGAAACGTTGTGGTTTTTCGTAGTTACTGTAGCTCCATCAACCGCTCCAACTTGTCTGGTGTTTCCAGACTTAGTGTTGGGTCTGTGGACGCCATGGACTTGTCCACATCAGCCTCTTATCACTTGGCCTGTGGCTCTGCAACACCAGTGCAGAACAGAGGCAGCTCCAACAGCTCTCACTGTCAGGTAGGAACAGATTCAAGTTAGAATTAAGAAGATTCAAATTGAATAGACTCACAGTAACACTACATTTTCTGATTCTTAAAATGTTGTAGGTATTGATTTAACATTGGTAGATTCTGAGGACATAATTGACTCACAAATTATGGTTAAAAGAAAGACAATCAGTAAGATTGTCATTATTAGGTTAATTGATAATGACAAAAATAGTTTTGTTTGTGATCTTTGTGTTTCCTTCTTCTCATCAGACGCCTCAGGCCATGTCAACCTCCCACACCCCCTTCAGGACGCCAAAGAGTGTCCGCAGGGGCGCGCTGCCTGTGGAGGGCGCACCCATCTTAGGGACCCCTGACTATTTGGCTCCAGAGCTTCTTCTGGGGAAACCACACGGTAAGAGAGGGACACTGTGAAAGGGCAGATATAACAAAGAAACGATTCATTATTATTAGAAAGAGCCACACAGTCTTGTGGTATTGACAGTTAATGCTTTATGTTGTAGCCCTTGTGACAGGCTCTCTCTTTTAGTTTCAGGAAGTGGTCAGTGTGGTAAGTTTGTAATGAAGGTGGCTGTTTTGTTGCAAGCGTCTTAGTTGCATGTTTGGCCCCCGGCTGCTAATACGCTACAGGAAATGAGCTGATTTCCCTGTTTTTCCCTCTATTCCTGTTTCTACCTGTTGTTTTGGTGAACAAACTCTGGGCCTGATCTGAGGGAAGGGGACAACGTTTTCAAGTGTTTTGGTCACAAAGGCAAAAAAAAATAAAAAAAAATAAGAAGAGGGTTAACAATCAGCTAACATCACTGGTAACAGGCGGGTAATGAGGTTTTCTGAGGCTGAGATGCTTTTGACTGGGCGGGTTTGGCTGCTCTTGGATCTGGTGTAATACGTTGTGCTGTGGCTCTGGATTGTCACCTGTCACACCCTGAGGGCAGTGTGCCCTGCCGGTTTTGCTGCTTTTGAATTCATGACCAGTCAAACTGCAACATGAATGATCCTGTTTGGCAGCTTTTAATCGTCTCAACCTGATTAGAGCTGTGGTAGATAATTTGTGGTAGATAATATTCACGGCCAGGCTCCAAGTAGAATTTGTTTCAAAATGTTATCCACCTGTTAAATCCACATGTGAATGAAATGTATTCAAAGTTAAAGTCCAGAAACTGACTCCCTCCACCCAAAAACTAACGCTGACCCTGCTTGTGCCACCGCAGTACTCTTAGTGAACACGTAGTGAACCCTCTAACAGGAATCACAGGGAGAACTGTGGCAGTCAGCAGCTGGATGAAACTTTTTCTTTCCCCCTCACCCAGACTGCATGGTGGACTGGTGGGCGCTGGGCGTGTGCCTCTTCGAGTTCCTCACAGGTGTTCCGCCTTTTAACGACGAGACGCCACAGCTGGTCTTCCAGAATATTCTCAACAGAGGTGGGTCCTCAAGATCGTGATCTTTCACGACGATTAAAACCTCAACCACAAAACAATGAATTTTGATTTTGTGAAGAAATGAGTTCGTTCGCATCCTGATGCTTTTGTTGTATCTTTTACTACCTCGACATAATGTCAGACATCCCGTGGCCCGAGGACGAAGAGGAATTGTCTGAAAATTCAAGAAATGCCATTGAAATACTTCTGATGATGGACATGACGAAACGGGCGGGTCTGAAGGGTGAGGACAACTTTTTAATTCAAAATGCACCTGATTGATTTAGCTTCTCAACCGATTGACAGCCTGGTTCTTTATATGGACGATAGAACCGACTTCAGATCTCTGGATTGACCCTCAGTTATTTTTAATAAAATAAGTTTGAGGCCGAAGCCAGAAAACAGTTTCTGGAAAGTTTCTCAAAGATTTTCTGTTATTGATTATATGTAAATGTAGCTGGAGGACAAGGCCGTCTTTCTAATAACAAGTGTTAAAAAAAAATTACACAGGAATTGGTTGAGTAGTTTTTTTGTGTTATCCTATTCAAAAAGAAAGAAGCGTAGACGGAAACAAACTCCTCTGTGAGTTAACAAAGACTTCCTCATCATGGCAATTAACCTCCTGATTTATGACAAAACAAAAGTTTCAGCTCTTCTCATCAGTCAGACGAGAAATGAATTTGTTTTCACATCCACCAGAACTCAAGCGTCACCCCCTGTTTGACGGCCTGGACTGGGACAACCTGCCGAACCAGCCCATGCCTTTCATACCTCAGCCCGAGGACGAGACAGACACCTCGTACTTTGAGGCAAGAAACAACGCTCAGCACATCGCAGTGTCTGGCTTCAGTTTATAGAGATGCCTACACCGTGCGAGGTTTATGAAAACACAAACCCATCATACAATTAAACACCATCTTCATGTGGATTCTGCAAACGTTTTTAAAACATTTTAAATATGTGCAATCACTGGTCATAAGAATCAAATAAAAGCTTAATCTAACGTGTTGTATATTATACACAGCTCTTGAATACGGTTCTTTTAGCATAGTCCAGTTTGCTTTAGCTCACTACAGGCTTCGATTTCTGTGTTGTTATAGTTAATTAAACACAAAATAACTAAGTAAATTAATTGAAATGTCTTCCTGCCTGACGGTGAATTGAACTTTCCGTGCAGATACACTTCATTTGTTCGTTCTGTTCGTTCTGTAACGTTTCCCCTGCTGTCAGTGGACTGGGTGGGCGGGGCCCCTGTATTAAGTTTAGTACTGCTGAAGAGAAACATCTTAATATATTCATGAATAGTGTATTTTATTTGTAAATCTTGTGAATAGCATTTAGTTTTGTTTTAAGACAGGATTCTAACTGCTTTTATGTCACCTGTAATGTTGATGTGATCTCATTCGTCACTGTCCATTTGCCACACTACTGTTTTTTTTTTTTTTAATAAGTTCATTCAGACATTTTTATCTTGTTCACTTTAAGAAAAAAGGAAAATACAAATAAAATGTGTTTGTAACATGATGGACTTTGTTTCTTCTTCTGGAAAATAACTAAACAGGACAATTCTTAAAATCTCAAGGGTTATGATTGGTGTTGTTTTTCGTGCCCAACTTAATTCCAACTCATTACCACAGGTTCTACACTTTCTTTTGGATCTTTTGGTCAGTTGACCTCGTTTAAATGAAAGTGCTTATCAATTTGTCAGTGTGTTGTCTGGAAACTCTGGTCTTTATTTGTGAAGAACGTAATATGGAACCATCTGTTATTTTTATGACGATGGGATGAAAGAAACCTTGAAGAAGAAACAGGTCAAAGGTTTAAAAAACATTTGCAGATGATTCCTAAGATGTCGTTATCAAACCTTTACGAGGAAACGTAAGTCAGGCTTTATATTGTAGTTTAACCATATATTTTTAAAATTAGATTTTATTATAATGAATATGTAGAGCTTGAATTAATTATTTACTGTTGAGACATTAAAGTCTCGTCAATCGACAGTTTCAAAGAATCAGGACAAACTCAAACACTTTATGAAAACTTTATTTTAGGCTTGTTAGATGATCACATGCAGACACCGCTCTATCCACAGGCAGAGAGGGTGAGGAAGCCTTCGCACATTTCAGTAGAAAGTTAAACTATTACTTTTATTAAAACACAGAGGCTCTGCAGACTGATGCTGCTGCAGATTCAAACCTTTGTAAATATGATATTATATTCTATGTTAATAATACACAGGGATGCAATCAAAATATTGCATTTGAATCATTTTAACTGTACAGCTATAGTATACAATTTGTACAGATCTTAATGCTTTGCTTCAACTCAATAAATCTTTCCACAATATTCATACAAACACATCACACATTTAAATTAGACAACAGACAGAACATGGCGGCATGAACAACACGGACAGTGACAAGTGTTAATAATCAGATATCTGGGCTCAGGGCTCACTAGGTAGTTTGATTAAAGTTAATTTGGTCCGGAAATACAAACAGACAATATGAGAATGTCTAAAATCATAATGCCACCGATGAATGTACCTGTGATGTTGAGGCACTTTTTCTATTTGGAAACAGATTGATATGCTGAAGGACGGGTGATGAAAACCACATGTAGCGTTCACTTTAAACATAAACCCACGCGGCTGGAATCTGGCCAGCGACGCCTTCTCTTCTTCTATCATTTGTCTAGAGGCAATAAATAACTTATTCTCACAATTAAAAAGAATCTCACACATCAATATATTATTACATTCAATCCTCCCTTCTAAACTACAGTTATATTATAGCAGCATTTCCTGGGCAACTAATAAAAGTGAACAGTTAAAACGTATTTCACCACACCAAGCGCTATGCTCACAACAGCACAAAGTATCAGGCCTCTCTTTGTGCAGCAAAGCCTTGAGTTACGGGAATAACGGAGAAGCTGCTGCAGTTGGTGTCTGGACTCGCAGACAATATCCCGACTGTGACATCGTCCCTCGCGACACAAACCGTTTCTTTTACTTACAGAGAAAGAGATTCTAGTACGAGTGGCGTCAGGTTGTATGATCAAAGGCTCAGAGGCCGCACATTCACGTTTCATTCTCTTCCACTTCCACAGTGCAACTCACTCGAGAGACATCTTCCTCCCACTCGTTACTCTAGGTGCATTCTTCATAGTGCAAAAGCAAATTACTGTGCTGTGGGTCGAAGCAGGGGGGGGAGGGGGGGCGGGCGGTTTCCATGGAGGCAGCTTCAGTTGATTCGTCTGTTAAAGAAGAAAAACAAGGAGTTGATTGTGTGTTCGATTTCGTGGTCGTGTTTTTTATATTATTCTGTAGAATGTTACCTTCTCCTCCTCTGCAGGAAGAGGCGGATGAGCCACTGCACCACAAACGGCCAAATCACAGCGAAGGCCAAACTGGTTGGAGAAATGTCAAAAGGCCACCAGGATGGCTTCTGGGTAAAAAAAAAAAAAAAAAGAAGAGAAAAGAATAAACATTATCTCAATGACACTATCTCATCGAAGTTTTAATGAGTTAATGCTGGTGATCATTAAACATTAAGTTAGCCAAGGACATGACATGCAGTTTACCTGACTCCTCTTGTTCACTGGGGATGATGGGTAAATTGGAGACAGAGCCACTGATCGCGCCTGAAGAAAGAAAAGAAAAAGGACATTTTATCAAGGTTTGTGAAAAAGCACAACATCAACATCAGAGCTTCAGTGGTAATCAGTCGTCTGAGCGTTGTACAGGAAGACAAAGTGCATTTTCCTTATCTGCCCTCGTCTACACAGCGACAACAACTCAACTGAGCAGGATCTGTTAATTTGTTACTTCGTTTACTCTCTTGACTGTGTGTTGTTAAACATTAACATCTCAGATTCAAACATGACAGATCGAAAATCAAGGTTGCTGACGTGGATTTTCTGAAGCAGCTTCGAGACAAAAGAAATGTGTTTTTCGACGTCTTTTGCTGATGGTGTGATGACACATCGTCCTGACCTGACTGGCAGATAGAGCCTCCAGCGTGTGGAGCCTCTCCAGGACGCTCTGCATGTCCTCCTGCAGTCTGGCCAGCGCCACGACGATCTGCTCATTCAGGTTCACTCCAGGTGTTCCTGCTCCTCCCCAGCGGCCCCGGTCCCCATCTCCACCACTGTGCGTGGGCATCAGAGCTCCAGAGCTGCGGCGTGGAGTCCGGGAGCCTAACAAACAAAGAGAAGATTTATCATTCATATATTTGTAAACATCATTTACAAAAAGATATTTCTAATGCATTTCATACATTGTCGCAGTCGCCTCTGAAATTATTTAGATTTTCCGTACCCTGTCCTCCTCTGACCACTGAACTGTCTGACATGTCTGAATCCAGTTTCTGTCCCTGTGACATCGTCCCACCGGGTTCTCCGTCCTCTCCTCCACATCTGATGGCCTTTGGTGGTCCCTGAGCATCCTCCTGGACTCCCTGTGCTGCCTCCAGCGGCTGCAGCGCATGTGTCTCCTCTTGATCCAGGTCATCCAGAGAGTGGTTATGGTCGGGGTTCTGGAGAAGATGCACATTCAATGTATTAATTTACTATTGAAACATGAAGGATCTATATCTGTGTTTTTTTTCTTGGGTTACTTGCCTCTTCTTGGCCAAACTGATCCACAGAGTCGCAGTAGACTTCACTGTCTGAGTCACTGGCCACGTGATGGGGACCAGACACGTCGGCTCTGGGATCTGAGACGAGCACAAAGGGACAGGAAACGGGAACAAAAAGCTCAGTCTCTCTGCATTGTGCTGTGAATCAAACCTGCAGTAATTAACAGGGTCACATGGGAGTGAAAGCAGCGTTCACTTAATTTGGGGCTCGGAGGATTAATTTACTCCATTAAAACCTCAGCAGGTGATGTGAGCGAAGATTTGGTGTCACATGATGCACACGTGGACAAACTGAGAGTCCAAACAGAACGGGACAATTTCGAAAAGCACAGCGAAGTTTTTCTTACCTGCATGGTGACCGTTGAGCAGGGGCTCGCTGGCTGGAGCCCCTGGGGAGTGGACACCGTTCAGAGCGACCTTGGGATGACTCCCATTGGTCAGATGGGCGACTCCGTTCGCCACTTTACCATTTGACAGCGGCGCCTTGTGTCTCCTGGCTGAACTCTTCTTCTTTGGCTGAGAAGCTGCTGGATTTTTGTCTGAAATAAAATCTGACACACGCCGACCCGCAAAGTCAGAGTTAAAGATTTAATCCTGACACACTTCGAAACTAGGTTGTTTTTTAAAAATAACTTTATTACCTTTTCTAACCTCCCTTATTCCTTCCTCCTCCTCCTCCTCATCATCATCGTCGTCATCATCATCATCATCATCCTCCTCATCATCATCATCCTCCTCCTGTGCTTCTTCCTCGGCCCTTTCCTTCACCTGCTTTGGTTTGAGCCTGGCAGGCCGAGTCTCCAGAGTGCCGTTCATTTCCATGGTTCTGACGATGCTCTTTGCGAAGCTCTTCGATGGCATTGAATTCAGCATCGTACCAATCCCTGCGCAACACAAGGGAACTTTTTACGAGGCTGAAAAACTAGAGGACAATAACCCTTCAAATTAAAGCAACCTGTTCAGAGGTGACATGAGGTTAAGGAATCACAGATTGAAAGTCAAACAAGCTGATGCTGAACAGTACTGCTGACTACAAATGGGTAACATGACTGCAAATAAGCACTAAAAGCATCTGAGCTACAACATCACGTGTACTAAAACTAAACCACCAGACTGGAGCACTGTCAGAGTCGTGTACTTGCCTTCCAGCTGCCTAGCAAACAGTGTCAAACGGGCTGAGCATATGACAGGAGGCAAATTAAAAAAAGATTAAGCACCACTTGCTGTCACAGAAATCGCAGACAAAGTGAACGAGAGAAGATCATACCTGTGCTCAGGTCTGAAATCTGCGTGATCTTTTTCTTCTCTTCAACCAGCTCGTAGAACGGACCGAGGACACGGAGGAGCTCCTCCACCTCGTCTGTCATGGGCATGCCCTCCAGGATCTACCCATCCAACACAGAAACAAAATGAAGAAAGGTTTAACTTTAAGATCATGTCAACAGTGTAAAATAAAATTAGATTGTCTATAAGAGAAAGTTGGAAAACAAACCAGTTTCATTTCATCGACATAGGCGACCATTGCTTCTTCTTTTGACATATTTCCAAGAGAATCCCAAGCGTCCCTGTTTAATGAAAATACAAATTATTATTATCAAAGAGATTTTCACCCTGAAAATAAAAATCCTGCTTGGTGCAAAGTCTGTTTCAATTTGAATTTGTTTTGTGCCAGTTTTCCACTTTGTAAACAAGGTCAGGTTATTTTTGGAAAGCGTGCCAGTTGTTAACTGTGGGTCAAAGAGTTCACAGACGAGAATAGAGCTCTGCCCAACAGATTGGACACTTCTCTTGTAAAGTTGCAAAAAAACTAAACAATGATAGCATGAGGAAAACCACCCAGCCTTGTGGGTGCAAGGTCGCATTCCAAGTATGTCAAAGAGTCCAAAGATCAACAAACACGACCTGAGCCTGAATATGTGGAGGATTGCCAGGTCAGAAAACCCAGCGGAGGGGGTCTCTGTCGTGTTGTGCACAGGGAGGTCAAAGTGGGTAAAAAGCCAAATGTTACGCAACGTGCACAAGGCGAAATCTCCAGAATTTGATCCATGACTGTGCAACTTGTGCACATCATCTCGCTCTTAAGGGAAAACCATTATTCAACGTGACACCATGAAAAAAAAAGAAGCACATTGACTGATTGATACCATTTTGCTTTGCCAACCGCGTCCCAGAAGCCAGGCCGGGGTGTACTGCACACGCCCACGGTTGCTTGTTTATAATAACTGTAGAACTTCAGCATCATGTCATTAGACGGCTGGAAGGGACCTGAAAAACAGGAATTTCAGTTATAAACGGCAACATGTGCAACATAATCAATCTCTTACATGCCTGTCAAGCTTCTAGGGGAATGCTATGCTGATGCATTGAGTTGCAGACTGCTGGAAGAAAGTGTCTGCACGCTACGCTGAGAGTTAAGTGGATTAAACCTTTTAAATCGCAGGAGATCTCAGGCACACCGAGCTGTTGCTCTGCACCTGACTACAGTCAGAAACCATGCGTTTCAATTCCGGGTTGAACTTGTTAAACTGGCCTGAGGGCGTGTGGTGTAAACTTTGTTTATTTATTTTCATTTATGAATCTATTGCCTTATTTATATTTATGTTCTCCTGTCTACCTCGCTCTGAGCTGCCTGCTGCTGTAACAACTGGATGTCCCACGTGTTTGAATCAATAAAGTTTTATCTTATCCATGTTATTTTATAAAACCTATTTTGGTAAGAATAACTGGAAGTGCACTTTGAGAGCACAGAGCTCCTCTTGAGTTATTGCCACACATCATCATGTTAAAGGGAGTTAAGAAAAATCCCTGATCTGCATGTTTACCCGGATCCTCTTCAAAATTTCAGTTCAGTAATATTTGTGCTGAGAAACAGACAAACAGCAAAATCAACACAACATAACCTGCTTTACAGAGGGGATTACTTAAGCCTGAAGAGAAACGAGTCAGAGTTCAATAAATGTGTCTAAATAAACTGGGAACTGTTCATTCAGTCACACACATTTTGTTATTAGTATTTTAAAAGCTTTTTGGTGATGCTGCTTTTACACTTTGCCGTGTCCGTGTTGTTCAATAATAAACTTGTCTTTTAACTAGTTTCTATTATATATTATTAGACACATGATGAATAAGTTGTGCACTCAGAGTAAATATCCAACTTTCTCAAGTGTTATGATAGAAAAACACAATCCTTCTTTGTATGTGCAACAAATGAATCCTGTCATCGTCTGTGTGCAGGAACAAGAATCTCACTGCAGGTGAAAATCAAAGTAGGTCAGAGGAATAGAATCGTGTTGTTGTGATCGTAGGTGACGGACGATAATAAACAGAGATCGGTGGTGGAGGAGGAGGAGGAGGAGATGAACCGCTGCCGTCTCGGCACTCACCATCCGGGGGTAAACTCTTGATCACTCTCACGGCGGCTTCGAACCTCCGCAGGATCAGACGCGGCTCATCCTCCAGCTCCATCCTGGCGGTCCGCACCTCCATCGAGACGCCCGGAGTCAAAACAAACCTGGACACGGAAGACAAGTGACAACACACGCTAACACATGCTAACGGCTGACTTAGCCTCCGTGCTAGCTCCAGGTGGGGAATTTAAACCACACTTTTCTCAACGATTAGCTCAAGTGGTAGATTAGCTCCAGCGTGTTGTCAGCGCCGGTGGGAGGAGGAGGAGGAGGGAGGAGGAAGGAGGAGGAGGAGCAGGAGGAGGAATCTGGGTTTTAATCTGGGACATGAACCTTAATGCGACACAGCTCCGGCTACATCGACATTTATCTGAACCTTCGTGGTTTTTCTAAACACGCGCGGACGGACAAGGCCTCAAAGACACACCGGCGCTCACCGTGATGTTCCCCGGGATCAGTTCGTCGGGAGGCGGCCTGCGTCCAACCCGCGACCAGACGCCATCAACAGGAGTGCAGCCAGGCTCCGGTGGAGGCTGGGGCTTGTAGTTTCCCACCCCCCTGCGGGGAATTCCACGACTTTCCTACAACACCCACAAGCCTCCGCTTCCGGCGGAGAGATGCAGTTTCGGGTCGACGCGAGTTGAGAGAAAGACTCGCGAAGGAAACAAAGAAGAAAATGTCGAGTTGTGTTTGAGATGTTTTGTTTTTGTTTCCGCCGATTTAAAACGATCGTTGTGCGCCATGCTAACTGGGTACGAGTAGCACTACATGTCCCGGCATGCTCTACTCTGCTTTCAAGTTAGAACCGTGATAGGCGGGAGAGGTAGAAGAGCGAGAGGTCTCACTCTGTTTTTTTCCCTGCCAGATTTGATGAGATGAGCTGGATCATTTTCTTTATTGATAAATTAACTTGAGTTAAAAGTTCAAGGAGAGTTTTCTCTCTTCTAAAAAGAGTGAGTAATATTATGAGTTCAGTGAAACTTCTTTTTCATGAGACTATAAGTTCATTCTTGAAATGCGATGACTTTTGTTTTTCCTTTTCCACATCATTACATCATGTTTTTATTATAGCAATATAAAAGCTTTATTCTCATTTAATTACAGCTTCATTCTTGTGATATTATCCTTTCTCTTTTTTCCTAAATTAAAACTTTTGTCTTTTTGTATCACGACTATCTTCCTCATTCAGTTACGACGTTATTCTTGTAATATTATAACTTCATTCCTGTAATGCTTTAACCTTTGCTCATTAAATTATAAACGTGATCCTGTAATATCTTTTACTTTCTTCTCATTTCATTACAACTTCATTCTTCTATTACAACTTTTGTATTTTAATGTTATCACTTTCTTCCTCATTAGACTACTATTCATTAATCTTGTAATATTAAAACCCTTCTGAATTTATTCTTCTCAATGAAAACTTTTTTCTAACGATGTTACAAATGTACTCTTGCACCATTACAACTTTATTACAGTCATCTCAGAGTTTCCTTTTTTACAATACGACCATAATACTCTGTTAACGTCCGAGATACTACCATGATTAAAAATAAAACAGAAATATGACAGTGTAACCACGATACGATAAACAGATATAAATAAAGATATAAAACACAACAACAAAGCAAAAATGTCTCCTGATATTCGGTTTGCAGGTTGAGACGCGGTCCCGCGTGTCGCAGTGACTCCTCCCCACGAACACACACGATCTCCGGTGTGAGCTCACACAGGAAGAGGAGCAGCGGGATCGAGGCTCAGATCCGCGGAGCTGGAGGCGGCTTCAGTCCGAGGAGGCAGCGGGAACACAGGCTCTGCTGCGGGGGGAAGACATGTAAAGATGGCAGAGCTACAAATGCTGTTAGAGGAGGAGATCCCCGCCGGGAAACGGGCGCTGGTGGAGAGTTACCAGAACCTCACCAGGGTCGCGGACTACTGCGAGAACAACTATGTCCAGGTACGTGAGCGCTGTGCCGGGCTGCTGCGCCTCCCTCAGCCGCCTTTTGTCGCCCCGAGCTCGGGTTGAGTGGTTGTGTGGGGGCAGGAAATGTGGATAAAGGAACCGGGGGAGTCGCCTGTTCCGCCCGGAGCTGGGACACACACACACACACACACACACGCACACACACACCAGCCCGGTGCCGGAGCTCTCTCCACCGCGGTACATCCACGCACCCCGGGGTGTGTTGATCACATTTATCCGCTCACACATCGGGTGTGTCTACTTTTTTTTTTTAAATTATTTTTATTATCATGATGTTTTCCAAGAGCGAGGCCTGAGTGTGTTTTAACGGGAGGTCAGTGAACACATCTCAGCTGCTGGACAACAATAAAAGAAAAACAAGTCAACAATTAAAAGTAGTAAATCATCCAAACGTCCCAATGTAACAGTGTTTTATCACTTCCCATTGAACTCAAGCATTTAATATATATATATATATATATACAGAACTGGATTATTCCCCTTGTGGGGCACTGCAGGAATATTCCACTGAGCTGCATTATAACCACTCAATGCATGGGCCAAAAATGCCAGTGCATGACTTTTACACTTTAATTTAACCATTAAACACTAAAAAACGCCACTTTAACACGTAATATCTGCAGGGGAATGAGAGGAAAGCAGCTTTTCTAAAATAACTTTATACATAAATGAGCGTATTCAGTTGTGTTTGCAGGCTGTGAGACAGAGAGAGGAATGCAAATCCATTGTTAGTTGGAGGTATTGATTTTCTTTTTCCTCTCCTCCTCTTCATGTTCTTCGTGTGTGCTGGACTATATGGTCCTGGTTCAGTCTCTTGAGTGTTTTTAAACCTCGCTCTCGTGTAAATGTGGCCCACGAAGAACCGATCATCACAGTGCAACTTCACAGCACAGCCTGAAGACCACACTGTTTGAATTTCAGCACAGTGACGTCTGCGGGGAGCCGCTCCTTAACCAGAAAAAGGGACAAATTAAGTGACAGACAAACAGCGGCGGTGAGAAAACATTTCTTCTCTCAGCAGGAAGTCGACCCACCGTATCAGCTGCAGAGGGTGTGTCCGTTCCAGCTGTACTCCCACAGGACTCCCTGTAATTTTTGTTTTCTTCCTTTCGTCCTGCGATGATCTGGCATGGTGAGGCCTCGGCTCCTGGAGCTTTGTGCCAGCTACAGCCCACACGTGCACACCAGGACAGAGTTTAACCGTCTCTGACCCGTTGAAACTTCTCTCCAGCTGTAACATGAGATAGAAACTGGTTTCCTACGGCTTCATATCAAACATAAACATGAAGTGAAATGTGAGAATCGGGCTGGAAGCTGCCACTGAACGTCAGACATCAGTTTGTTCTTGAATTAACTCATCGTTTTCCTGACTCTATTCTATTTCATTGAGACTTGGTCACTGGAATTAATAAACCGGATCATATCTAATTTATTGTTGCCCATATTTTCCAGTTTTTTTTAAAGGGATGGATACAGGATGTAAATATTGACAATAAAAACGAGTATTGAAACAGTGATGACCGGTCAGATTTGTCGTTTCATCTTGTAAAAACTTCCTCTTGACTTGTAGTTCCAGACTTGAATCTTAATTTTTAGACTTTAAAGTACTCGTACACCTGCTTTTATTTAGAGAACATGATATAGCTCTTTGACTTTTTGTGGTCTAAAGAAAATTGTCAGTATTCCTCCAGTGCTGCTGCATGTCGGCATCAGCTGCCACGTCCGATTTGTTGTCCTGGATTTTTTTTGATTTATTCTTGAGTCAGATTATTTCACATTTGCTGTCATTTTCATGCAGTTGTGGATAAAGAGCACAGTGTTGATGGATGCTGTTGACAAGTCATGTGGAGAACTTGATTTAAAGTTTGTTCTAACTTTATTTAAATCCTGTGATACGTTCCGTTTCATGTGTCTGACGTGTTTGTGAGTCTGTCCTGGTGTTGTTGCCGAGCACTTTGTTTAAAGTGACGCTAAAAAAAAAGCAGGATTTGAGGCTTTTCGTACGTTAGCTCCGTGTGAAGTGGGAGTCAGACATCGGTGCACTCTTTCATAAGCCCTCTCTCTGTTTGCTGCAGATATTCAGTGTCTCTAGGAAACTCACACACACACATGAAAACTGTGCGCTCCCGCCCGAACCGTTCACATATCAACATGTCTCAGCTCGTATCAGCCCAACCTTTCTGCACGCCTTCACATTTCCATCCCTGCTCTCTCTCTCTCTCTCTGTGTTCTTGTAAGGGAGCCTCAGTGTGCGCTGTAGTGCAGCTCAGCAGGCAGAAGCAGATGGTGAAAGCTCTGTTCAACCAAGGACACGTCACTTTCTCAACTCGATAGTGACTTTGGTTCATGCCTGTGTGTGTCTGTGGTGTATATGACACACTGACAGGTCAGAGTTATGTTTCCTGTTTGCTCTGCTGACTCCAAAGTTTGGCCCCCCCTTCTCTCCGTGTGGCAGGAAGCAGCTTAATAATAGACCCCTCCAAAAGAAAACAGCCTCTCACATTAAGACACAGTCTATTCGGATTAATATCAGATATCAATATAGTTTGGAATTTATTCTGCTCACATTTATTTTACATTTCATTGCCCCTGAGAAGCCTGTTTTTCTTAAACCTGTGTGACAAGGGCACACGTCCTGTATGCAAAGTGGGCCACCTGGCCATGTTGGCAGGACACACTGATGTCTGCTTCCCGAACGAGCTTCTCGTGGCTCTGCTGAATTATACCTTCACTCAGGTGTTACTGTTGGGTTTAGCTTTTGTTGAAGGACTCTCCCCTGTCCAATCAATTATTAATATCAATGATCATTTACTATAAAGTTATTATTATAATAATAATGTTATAATTGACAAAAGCAAAGCAGCAAATCCTCGCATGTTAACTGACTTTTAACTTCATTTCTTGATTTATTTAATTAATAAAATTTTATTTCCAATTAATCGATTAATGAACCATTTCTGTCTGAACCAGAATACTGTCCGTAGTGCGACAAGGTTTTTGTAAACACAAAAAAGGAGCAGTTCATCATCATTCCACTACCAGAGCAGTGATAATGCATATTACTGTGGGATTTGAACATGCGCTCTAAATGGTGTCTGAAACAGGTAGTTTGACTGAAAGCTAATGTTTTTACACTGATATTTATACATTTTGAATGAAATCTGGTGTCTGACCGTAAACAGACACAGGAATAGGGAAACAAAAGTGAGATGTGGTAAATCAAGATGTCCTAAGTGTTGTAAGCTCCAGACATGTGACAGGACGCACACTGGTACTTTTTCTATTTCGAATGGAAAAGTCCAAGCTGCCCCTAAATTAGCTGTTTTGAAATGTTGGCTGTTGTAATCACAGAGTGTGTTTAAAGATGGGCGACATGGCAGCAACAAAAAGGGAAGTCAAAACATCTCGCCCACTCCCTGGTGGCTGGCTCCAGGATAGGTAAACCCCGCCTTCTCCATGTTAGCATATTGGACATGAAGCACAATAATTACATGACTTCTTTGTCAGAGGGCAGTGCCCATATTCCAGGATAGTTTGGCTCAATGTTTGTACAGTGGAGGGATGTCGTCCATCTCTATTGTAATCCATGCAGGAGTTTGACATAGAGAGAGGGATGTGCTCTTCATAGTTCTGATTGTTTAACCTTCCTGTACCTGCCCGAAGCTGTTTTATTACTCATGTGAACATTTCCTCTAGAAGAAAGCCAACTTCACCTCTCTTTCTCTTTCTCTCCCTCTCTCTGGGTTTGTCCTGAGTCCTTCTTTCCTGTCCGTCTTTCTCCAACTCCCTTCTTCTCTCTCTGTCTCTCTCTGTGTAGTGGCCTGGTTTTGCTCGCAGCGTGGCGAGGCCTAGCGGCTCTCAGCTTACCAGCCAGGCCCATTCATCCTTTTGACCACCTGTCACTCCTCCCCCTCAGCTGGCAGGAGTTGGTATGATCCAGACTGTTGAACTGATCTGCTCCAAGCTGGTCAGAACGTGGGAGTCGGGGCTTGTTTATTGAGAAAAAT